ATAACAACTGATTAAATAACTGTTTGAACTGCTCCAAAATTTTCCAATTGCGTTTGATTATTGTCATTGTTTATTGAAAGCAACCGTACACAACAAACTACACGCATAACTTACGCCAGTTCTTACGCACGCATACGAATGCTGCACAGGAAATAACACATGGTTTTGTAATCCATTCCATCTCATGAGACCCAAAAACAAATGAGCTAGTTGACGTATAACTCCGTAACACGCCACTCTGTAGTGCACACGCATCTCAAATACACAAAATCATATACCCATGTTTGGGAATATAGGTGCGTGCGTGCGTGTGAACTTGCGGGCGTGTTGCGTGTTTAAAAGTTTATTCTACAAGAATGTCCAAAAAAAGATACAGTTGAAGCAATTTCTTTTCAAGGACTTTGTACTTTTTTCAGTTTAAATGCTAACAAAGTGTTTGGAGATTTCTCATTTAGTCGGACAAAGGTGGCGAGTCTGATCGGAGGTGATAAGTTGAGTTGTTGATTGACACCACAATCAGTCTTCCACAATGCCACATTCTCTCTCCAGCTGATTGGAAAACCTCGGCTTATAAAGAGTTATTGTTTTGGTAAACGATTCCTGTATATGTAAATACTTAGTTTGATAACATTGTTGTTCTTCATTAAATTTTATTAATGAAGATTTTCAATGTGAAAGGAAAAAGTTTTTTTTATTCATTAATTCAGAAATAGCTTTCAAATTTTTATAAACTTTTGAAATTTTCTTTCAATGTTTATTTTGCATCTGATTGTTTCCTATAGATGCATGTCCAAGCTTCAAAGATGTTATCTATCTTGAGAAGCGTTGCTAATGGAGCATGGATGCTCACATCAAACGTACCCTATCATCATCAACATCATCAACCAATTCATATTCGACAGAACTAACAAAAATAATCTAATGCTTCATTAGCCTCAAACATAAGTCTTTGTAAAATTTTAAAATTAAAGCCTTAGAAAATAACAGATACCTAAAATCATTAATTGTTGTAATAATAAAATTTAACAAGAGGCCACTCATTGGCAGATGCTGTTGATTTTTCTATAAAATTCCTGACTGATGAGTATGAGTAGTAACCATTCAGTCAGTTAGCATTCCAGTTGTAATTAACTAAATGGAAAAATTTAATAAGCACCATGAATGAATAAAGCGTGGCTGGCTGGGGGGCTTTTGTTGAGTACTGCAATGTTAAAATTTTTACAATTTGTTTCACTGGTTATTATTAGAATACAATAACTTCTCCGAACGCTGAAAATTGATATTGTTATTGATGATGGTGCAAAATAAATCTTCATTATTATTTTGTGTTTTTTTTTATAATTTTTATGTTAATATAATCGTTAGTTCGTAACTATAAAGTTAGCATGAAGGAAAGTGATATTTAAATTAATTAACAATCACTCGTTCGTGACTGGACGCTTGAATTTAAAACTATGCAAATCTCAAAAAACCAATTCAAAATTCATAAGAATGAATGTTGGCACGTTTCAGTAAGAATAACTGACTTGCATTTTACACATATCTAACCAACAGAAGTATTTAGAAAAAAACGACAACTCACATGTGTGAAGCATGAGTAACACTGCGAATGAATGTCAAAACCAACTCGGCTTAATATAAAATCTCGGGAAATCAAAAAAAAAGAAATTAACAGTTATTCAGCTTCTATTGTTAGGTTTATTGTCAACTGCGAGTTTATATCAGCTTATAAATTACGCTGTAAACGTTGATGCAGTGCTGTTAAAGTCTGCGAGCATTCAAATTCTTTTAATCAAGTTATTTCTGTGTTTGTTGTTTCTACTGAACTTTGCGACCAAACATTACACTTTAAAACCCATTAAATTATTTCAATGGTTTATAATGGTGATCTTAAAAAAGCAGTATTAGGAGCATTCAAATTCTTTTAATCAAGTTATTTCTGTGTTTGTTGTTTCTACTGAACTTTGCGACCAAACATTACACTTTAAAACCCATTAAATTATTTCAATGGTTTATAATGGTGATCTTAAAAAAGCAGTATTAGGTTTTAATATAAATTTTGCTTAAAATGAGTGAATGTTCGGTTGTTTATTCAGAAGCAAATGTTGTTGTTTCGTGTTGTTGTTGTCTGTTGTTGTTTGCTGTTGTTTGCCTTTGTTGTTGTTTGCTGTTTTTGTAATTTGCTGTTGTTGTTTGCCGTTGTTGTTGTTGTTATTTGCTGTTGTTGTTTTTTGCCATTGTTGTTGTTGTTATTTGCTGTTGTTGTTATTTGTTGTTGTTGTTGTTTGTTGTTGTTGTTGTTTGTTGTTGTTTGCTGTTGTTGTGGTTTGCTGTTGTTGTTGTTTGCTGTTGTTGTTGTTGTTTGCTGTTTTTGTAATTTGCTGTTGTTGTTGTTTGCCGTTGTTGTTGTTGTTATTTGCTGTTGTTGCTGTTTGTTGTTGTTGTTATTTGCTGTTGTTGTTATTTGCTGTTGTTGTTGTTGTTTGCTGTTGTTGTTGTTGTTTGTTGTTGTTGTTGTTGTTCTTGCATAACTGGTAGATAGCTGAGAACAGACAGATGCCAATGCAATCGTACGTCAGCTGTTACCAAGAGATTTTTTCTTCTTTCCTAATTAATGTTCCTAACATCATCATCATCACTATTGTTGTTGTTCTTCTTCTTCATCAAAACCCCGTCAACATCACAAAAAATGTTTGGACCAGAAACAAGACTAACAACATTCTTAATGCAGTTGCTTTTGTTGTTCGTGTTGCTTTGTTGTTGTTTTTTTTGATGCAACAATGTTTACAATATTTTGAGTTATTAAAATTTATAAACCTAAATGTTTTAAAAAGCAACGCTCGTGTTTCAAGCAAGCAAATAAGGAGTCGTTTTAATATTTTACCCAATTTTATATGTATGTTGATCCGCAGACTGATAATTATAAGCAAATTTGTCGTTTAATAAATTTTTTTGGTGTTGCAAAGTTCATCAGTTAATAAAACAATGTTTCAAAACGCCATGAAAAAACGACCACATGAAGTCATTCAATAAAATATGACAGAAGAAAACGAACCAAACTTTTATTATGAAAAAAATTTTTTTCCTGGTATGAGCTGAACCATAAGTTTCAATTTGTTGCATTATGAAAAAAACACAATTTAAAATTTAAATACGCTACTATACCCACAAAATTGTGGCAAAACTTTTGCCCATCCATAACGGTTATGCTTAGCTGAATCATATTTTTCGTGCATTGACTTACATTTAAAATCCTAACATAAACACGGCTGACACTGAAAACTAATAAAATTCTTTTGAAAATCTACAAAAGATCTGGGCCATAACAGTGAGATAATATTTCGTAGGGTTTTCAAACATACAAGCTTCAATTTGATATATGGAGATGCATAAAAGACAGAAAATGTGTCGACCATGGATGTCTTCAACTATCAGCTGACATCAAGCGAGATATCATTGATGTGTATGTACGTACATGCATGTACAGTACACGTGTGTATAATATAAACAATGCGATGTGTGGTTTTGTGTTTGTTTGCATTCAAACAGATCTACTTAATGCATATATGGCGCCATATTTTCGGCGCCAAACGAACTCATGAGAAGGATTTTATGATTCAGATTTTTTTTTCCTGAGCGAGGTATCAGTTTTGATGTTTGTACATGCGATGCTAAAGGTAGTGAAAAAGCTGTGGTGACCATCGACACCAAATTTTATATTACACAGGTGTTCCAAAAGCAGTTGATGCGCTGGACAACAGCTGGTTGACATGTTACAAATGCAGCCAATGCAAAAATTAATTTTCAAAATGCATTCTGAATGGGTGGTTGACCGATTGGCTAAAAGGAAATTTTATATACAATTTTCTCACCATTGGTGTTCCAACTAAGAAGAAGTACTTACACATTCATTTTTCGGATTGCAATTCACACTTCAATCAAGCGGTCATAGCATGGCAATTCAACAACAACAACAAAATATTGTAAAAAGATGATGAAATAGAAATTGGTGATGTGGATTATGATGATAGTGATGTAGATTATGATGATGGTGATGATGAGAATGATGAAGGTGATGAGTGATTATGGTGATGGCGATGATAAGGATGATGAAGGGGATAATGTGGACAAAGCATTAAAATTACTCTCTAGTTAATTTTCCCATCCTATGCAATGATAAAACATTAGTAAGTTAAAACAGTGCTACACAAATATGATTCTGCTTTGCGGTGTTTGAAAACGCAGTTGAAAACAGTAAAGAAGTGGTTAATTGATAGTATTCCCTATAAAACAAGCACAAAAGTTGAGATGCGGTTAATCATTTTTTATTTATTCCCAATTTTCTTCAACCTTTTCATAAAACAGTAGATTCGAAAGTAAATAACTTGAAATATAATAAAAAACAATTGGAATAAACTGAAACAGCATTTTTGTCCTTTAAAAAATAAAATAAAATGAAACAAAATATTTAAATTAGAAACCGTAAAACAAAAGAATTGTTGATGGTGTTGTTGGTCTTGGTGATTATGTTTGGTAGTGTTGTTGGTGGTGTTGTTGGTGGTGTTGTTGGTGGTGTTGTTGGTGGTGTTGTTGGTGGTGTTTTTGATGGCGTTGTGTTGCTTGCTGAACATAAAAACTTTTTTCTGGCTTTGTTTGTGTAGTCATATATCGGTTTGCTGAGTAATTGATTATGTGACAGTTTGTGTGTCTGGTTGTTTCAACTGAATACGAGGTGAGTTGTTTAATGGCCTGCGTGTTCGCTTGTTTATTCTGCCGTATGTTGTGCCACGTGATGATTAAACCGTAGCAACCTCATACTTACATCAGCTTTTATTACGGTTATATGACCGGGACAAGCAAGAATGCGGCCTTACGACGTGCTGGCGCAGTGCATCTTCTCGTTTATTAATGTCTTGTGTCTCGCATTTCTTATGCATATCACTCATGCATATGGGGTGAATTACATGAATTGTGCATGCCTACCTGCTTGCATTGCGAGTTCAACAATTTGTAGTTGAAATTTGGTGAATTGTTTGGTTCGTTCTGATTTTTTTAATTACTATTTTGTACTTCAGACGCGCGGTGTAATGAATTTTCACTGTTTTGTCACATGTGGCGTCTGTGTGGAGGTGAATGTTCTATTGGAGTGTTATTAATGATGTTTAATGACAATTGAAAAAAAAATGAAATGCGACTAACTTGATTTGGTGTTGTCCAGATGGAGCTGGAAATTGGCAGTGATGTGAGCCAGGATGTGTAGGAAGGTGAGCAGTAGGTAGTAACGACCATACATCATCATTGTGTGTTGGTTGGTGTGTGCTGGTGTGTACTGGTGTGTTGTTGGTGTGTTGTTGGTGTTAGTTGATCTGTGTCAATGTGTCTGGATGTGTGTGTGTGTGTGTAATTTATTGGAAAGTTTTGTAACAATTTATTCGTGGATTGTATCTGCTTATTTTGTGTATATATGCTTAATGCCTTAATTCGATAAATTTAAAAATTTTTCATTACATGCTTTTTCATCAAAGATATTTCATGTAATTTTTACAAAGATATATGGTTTAATATGATAGTTTCATGTATTTTTCTATAAAAAAAAATGATTTCTTTGTTGCGTAGGGTAATAAAATTTATTATGCCATGGTGATGTTAATTGATTTGTGTCAGCGGCAAAATTGGAGCTTGGTTGCGTGTGTATGCTGCTGATGTTTGGTTGGTTGGTTGGTTGGTTGGTTGGTTGGCTAGTTGGGTTGGTTGTTTGGTTGAGTTCTTGGTATATATCTTTCTTAAAATTATTTTTTAATTTTGCGTCAGCGTTATTTGATTATGTAACTTTAATTTAATTTCACTTTCATAAAAAGTTAATCATCTTGTATCGGGTTCATTATGATTGATGAATTACATCTTGTACAGTTACTGCTATTGTTGTCGTTGTTGCTGTCAACGTTAATGTAAGTGCTGTAGCGATTGCATGCTATTGATGTCTTTGTTGATGGGTTTAATTATGTTCTTATATTTCATGTACGTAACATGTTTTAACTTGGTGATATTGTGTTTGTTGATGATATTATTTGTAACTATGTCGATGTCCTATGCTGATGTTAATGTTGTTTATGTGTGTTGTTGTGTCTATGTGGATGCATGTGGTTGGATGATGCGGTTGTTGCAGATGTGTTTTGTTAGATGTTGTTTGCTGAAGGGATTTTGTATTCCAAATTTTCAACAGCTGCAAATGAAATTAATTTGTAAATTAATACAAAAACCTACTCACCTGTGATCAGCAAAATTTTCAGAAACAAAATTTAAAAATTAATTACAAATTTATTCCAAAATGAATAAAAAATTAATGAATTGAAATAAAATTTAAAATATAAGCATCTTTTATAGAAAATTCAAAATCATTATATCCAGTTCACGTCATATTTAATTTCAGCAAATTCATATAACAAACGTAGAACGCCTGCATATGACGATCGCCCCACACACACGCATGCAAGCAGGCACAATGGTATTGAATGCTTATCAATGCTATATACTGCAGAGGCAGGAATTTATAACTTAACGTTTAGTCATTTAGACTTACTTGTCAATGTAAACAAACACAACGTGTACAACCATACCACGTGTACAACCGTACAACTTGTACAACCTTGCAATGTGTAGTGTGTGTACACCAGATGAGTATGCAACGTTTCGCCCTGCTGTACAAAATTTTTTCACACAAAAAGTTAAAACGCCTTTTTTGTTATTACAGAAGTCAAATGTGTATTTGCTTATTTATTTGAGTACACGAATAGTTTCTATAACGCTAATAACATTATTAGAAACCGGTCAATAGGACCACTCGGAACGTAGTCAAATTGATCCGATTAGGCAGCTGGTTAACCGAACTTGACATTTGAAAGGAAAAATTAAATACAGTGCTGGTTATTGTTGGCCAGACGATCTGGTTGAACGTTTGTTTGGAGAAATACTTTATTAACTGATTTCAATTTTCTAAAAATATTTCTAAGCAAAAAGTTATAACACAGTAGTACCAAAAATGTATGTTCAAATTTTTGCTAAATCAAAGAATGTGTCAGTTTTCAATGTCTTCAACATCTGATTTACGATAGAGATTTTTCATTCAAAATAATAATTTGTTCTTATTTCTTCAATCAGATTAATTTTCCACAATTAAATGTCAACACCGCTTAACATTTTTCCATTTGGAGTTGAAGTTCATTCAACCAATAAAATTAAAATAACATAAAATAACCTATCATAGGTGAGCTTTTATATCAAATTGCGCTATATTATTTATTATCCTAATTATTGTTATCTTTGCTATATTTGTAATCTTTGAATTGCAAACCATAGAGGATTGTAAAGAGATATCGAATCTATGTTAAAAATCTACTTTAGTGGCCATATAAATGATTTGAAGAGAGCAAAGGTTTCCAACGTAGGTTTGATGCAAAGTTGTTATGGTGATTCATGTAGTTACTTGGATTAGTTTAGTTATTCTATTACTGTTGGCATTGAAATAAATGTTCATCAAAGTTTGCCTTTGAAGCAGTTGTGTTCATCTATGGAAAATCTTGAACCTAAGGAATAACGAACACTTGACGATCGTGGGAAGCTACAACACTGGTGCTGGAAATATAGAGATCGTTGAAGTTATAACATCGGTGTTAGTAGTAACGAGCGTTAAAGGATTACAACAATGTGATTTACTGCATGTACTGTATAGTGTATAGAATGAGAAACTGTTATAACAGATCCTATTAAGTCATTTGAATGTAGAGTTTAAGGACGTATGTCATTTGAAACAAGTAAATTTTTATGTTGTAGCTTGCATCATCCAAACTACGCCCATTATATTTTTACGCAACTAATTGCAGCTTAATTATTTAAACTTAATTTTTTATTAACACATGTTGGTGGGACTTAGAACACATTGAAATAAAAAATGGCAATGCAACAAACCTATTCACATTTGAATGGGCATTCGAACAAAAAAATAAATAAACAGATATACAAACAGACATATAAACAAAACAAACTAACTAACATGCAAACAAATGAACAAATGAACGAATAAACAAATAAACAAATGTACAAATAATTGAACAAATGTACAAACAAACAAGCAAACAGACGAATAAACAATTCTGAACAACTTTAAAAACTAAAAGAGAAGATTAATCATTTTATTCTACGAAACGCGCCTTCTTTCAACCTAACTAATCAAACTTTTAATTTGACAACGTTTTTATAATGGGTTGGTTTGTTACTTTAGAATTTGAACAAAAACTCAGTTCAATTTGTGTCCCTTAACACGTTTCAACGGTGAAAGTACTAAAAAATAAATTTAACCCCATCTGCTCTCTTTAAATCTGAACCAGCTAATAAACGACATCTGTCTTCATGCTGCTACCCTGTCATTTCATACTTTTTCAGTTTGTAGCACGAACACAGAAAAAAAACACAACATCAAAATAAAACGCCAACACAACAACCCTAGATACAACATTCTTCAACGCCGCAACACAACAATACAACAACCCAACACTAACGCTACAACCCAACAACACAACGAATAACACAACGTATTACATGAACACGAGCTTTAACAAAAAAATCAAATTTATGTCCTTGTACAAGTTTTATGAATTATTAAATATCCATAATCTCCTTTTTTGTTTTTTTTTTGTTCTCTTCGCTTTTTTGTCTGCAATCACACACACAAACACACACGCGCACACACACAAACATATAAATGCGCACGCGCTTGTACAACAACATAGCACACCGAAGAACACAATTTTGCAGGATAACATAAACTCCGACGCGTGAATACGGCAGACAAACAAAGCAATGCAGACCGACATGAAGAATAAATCAAGTGCACAAGCTTGAACATACATTTTGTGGAGAACAAATTAATAAATGTTGAAATTGAATACAAATGCACCAAAACATGGTTGAATAACCTCATTCGCACGTCTCAAAATACAATTTTTAAATGTTCAAGAAAATGTTCATGCAGAACATGGCATGGCAAACCACGCTAGCATGTGTAGGAAGTTACAAACAATCGCACAAAAGCATTCCCTACCATATTTCAACATGCGTGTTGAAGTTCACTGTTTTTTATGATAGATTTTTTCCTACCTCATTCCTTGTAAATTCAATTTTGCTATGAAATTAGACTTCATGTTTTTGAGAATTCGACGTTTTTAGTAATTTGTTTGATGCAAATTAAGTTATTTCAGTTTATTTTGTTCTAATTTTGGAAGAAAAATTGAAATTGCTCAAACATTTTTTTAGATATTTGAATTTTTAACATTGATGAAATGTAAGAATCCACTGAATATATTTAACTACAAAACGAATTTCAGGATAATTTTTGCCAACATATGACCTAGAACAACATAGTTAAGCATAATTCCAGATTGATCGATTCTTATTGATCACTGTTCAGTTTACGTGCATCGTAATGAAAGACACACACACACACACACACACACACACACACACACACACACACACACACACACACACACACATATATATATATATATATATATATATATATATATTCATTCACGTGTGTGTGTTTGCGCGTGTGTGTGTGAGTGTGTGTGTGAATGTGTGTGTAACTGTAACTTATTTAACTTGCTTCGATGTACCTGGGGATGATCCGGCTCTGACGACCATGACATTAAGAATAAAAATAATGTTAATTACAAAAAATAATAATGTTATAAGCTAATCGGTCATAATAACTATAAGAACATAGGCAAGTTACAACAACAAAAACAAGACATTAAGATTAACAACAACAACAACATCATAAACAACAACAACAACAGCAGCAGCAACAACAAAGACAACACAGCAAAGTATTCAGATTCAGACGTCGATGCGTTGGTGTTTTTATTGCAATAATGAATTGATCCCTAACAATTTTAATGCAATTACATGCACTGATATCATGACGTGTCATGCATATTGATGCATTGATGCATTAATGTGACGTGACGAAATCTTTGATGCGTTTTAAATTTTTAATAATATGAGATTATCTGATTTGCAGTTAGAGATTTAATTATATCTGAAGAAGATGTGAGAATTATTGCGACAAAATTTTTTTAGCTCTTAATTTATAAAATTAAACTGTTTGTGAATCTTTGTTGTCATTCTTTTATGATACTGCTTCATTATTTTACATCAACAAATTCATTACACATCTGTCACATATTATACTTCTGAAATATTGTTTCCAGCTCTTCGTCTTTTTGAATGGCGAATTTCTTAGTAGAGTTGTACGTGTAGTAATGGTAGTAGAAGTGCGAGTACGTTCATATCTGAGCAACTAAATAATTAATTCCTCACTTCGTCTCGTTTTTAAAAAGATTTTGAAATTATTTAAAGAAGTTTTTAATGTGCATCATGTGTGAGTGAGTTGCTCGTGTTCCTACATTACTAGATGTTGTATGCATGAGTGTATGCACGTATGTGTGCCGTCGCAAATCTAGGAGTTAGTGCCCCTCCGTTGTCACTTAAAGTCATTGTTTTAACGAAAAAAGTGCTGCTTTTTTGTAAAAAATTGATGTAACAAGCGAAACCACAAATGTTGGCCACCCGTCAAAATATTGGCCTTTCTTTGAAACATATTAAATAAATAAATATAAATAAATAATGGGCTTAAACGTAAGTTATATATGCCAATATCAAAATAGCACTAAAAGACAACAAAAAGCAATCAAACAACAATGTCAATTTTATGATCATCGAGAAAATCTTTGTTGGCGAAATACAAGTCAAAATTCCTCTTGAAGTTGGAAACAGTATCTGATTCAACAACGCATGTCGGTAAATTTTTCCAAATAGAGATCACTCTGGTAGAAAACGAATACTGTATGGAACTTTTGAACATGTATTCTATTGCGATGCCCACTGGTACGTGGATCCGCATCAAAACACAAAGCTGGTGAGGAATCTCTATCTACCATACCCTTCGAAATGTTAAAAATCATTAATATGTCTCCATTTGAAATATTTTCAGAAATTCCGCCCCCCGGTCAAAGTTTATAAATTTGTTACAATTTTGGCCCGCCCGCTTAAGTTGTATGTATGTATGTATGTGCGTATGTATGTATGTATGTATGTATGTATGTATGTATGTATGTATGTATGTATGTATGTATGTATTTATGTATGTATGTATGTATGTATGTATGTATGTATGTATGCATGCATGCGTACATACATACATATATTTGTATGTATGTTTGTATGCGTCGGTACATGTGCATATATTTATATGTTCATATACAATATCCACATGCATGTATGTATGTATGTGATGTGCACACTGGCATGTACGCAAATATGTTGTATGTCCGTGCGAGTATGCAGACAAACGCATGTTTGTTTTGCGTGTACAACCGTCTCATCATCACTGCAGGCTTGTATGCTGGAGCCGTCTACGCTCCAAGATATGATGTCATTGGTGATGACGATGATGAGGCAGAGGATGGCGTTGATGATGATGAGGATGATGATGATGACAGTGAGGATCATGATGGAGATGAAAGCATTAACGTTGCAGATGATGATATGATGGTGATGATGATGGTAATGATTACGATCTGTGTGAAAGTAATTGTAAAGAACAAAATAGAACAAGCGAAACATTAAAAATGTGCAAATAATTGAATTTTCTACTGAATTATGCAGCAAAAATTACATTTTTGTTAATGCGGACATTGCAGTAGTAGTAGTAGTAGTAGTAGTAGTAGTAGTAGTAGTAGTAGTAGTAGTGGTAGTAGCAGCAGTAGCAGTAGTAGTAGTAGTGGTAGTAGTAATATAGAAGTAGTTGTAGTAGCAGTAGTATTAGTATTATTAGTAGTAGTAGTAGTATAGAAGTAGTTGTATTATTATTATTTTTATTATTATTATTAGTAGTAGTATAGAAGTAGTTGTAGTAGCAACATTATTATTATTAGTAGTAGTTGTTGTTGTTGTTGTTGTAGCAGTAGTAGTAGTAGTAGATGTATCAGTTGCAATTGTTGCAACAGTAGTAATATCAGTAATGGACGTTGTTCTGGTGGTGGTTGTGGTTGCTGTTAAACTTGTATTAAAATTTTTGAAGTTACAAATATGTTTTTAAGTATTAAATGTTGTCTTAAAAGTTGTTGTGATTATTATTTTTGTTGTTTGTTGTTGTTGTATGCTACTCGGAGGAAATAATTTTCGATCAGTTATAATAATTACTTCAGTAATAAATTGTGACTATTCTGAGGCTTTACACTGATGAATATGATGAGTACGATGAATATGATGAGTACGATGAATATGATGAGTACGATGAATATGATGAGTACGATGAATATGACGAACATGAAAAATGTTAATCGCAGTTTCATTTTAATGAAATAAAATAATTGAACCTGCTACAAGTATGTGATACAGAATGATGAAGATCTACATGGTGTTAACATGATGATGAGAATGAACTGGACTCAGTGGCATCACTAGGGTTGGTGTCACCCGGTGCGGTAACTCATGGTGTCACCCCTCTCATGACACCCCATAGACATACAGCATTCTTAGCAAAATTTATAAACACGAACAAGTTAAATGTGCTCGGCCGCGGCGCTTAATAATTCGGACGTCGAATTTGAATGGTATGAATGTCGAATACAAAAATGATTTGAACGAAAAAAATTTTATTCATAATACATTTCTGGGCGCTGGGCGGGTTAGGCTGAATTAATGATAAGAATAATTTCATGGAGGGACATAAAAACATATACAGTGATATTTTGGTGTCACCCCCTGTGAGGGTGTCACCCGGTGCGGTCCGCACCCCCCGCACCCCCTAGTGACGCCACTGACTGGACTCACTGATAATATGTTGTTGATTATGATGATACTGCTGCTGATGATGATGGTGATGAAGAAGAAGATGAGGTGGAGGAAGAGTATGAGGAAGAGAAAGAAGATGATGATGATACGAAAATATTTCTTTAAACAAACTCAGGACTACAGTAGCAAATGTATCAACAGCTTAATGCTTTCATTTTGAATGCATGTCCCACTTATGCCCTATCAAACTTGGAAATAGTGCTGCACTTCACAGACGTGAGAACGCATACATTCCACATACAAATGCGCCTTGGTGTACAGTGAATTGTTCATGCGTGTACTCAAACACGTACACATAAATCAACCCATGTTCTCTGTTCAATAAATAATTTAGCGAGAACCTGAAATCGGTGTGCTTCTTCTGTTCCGTGTTAAATCATTTCATTCTCACGTTTTTTGTCGTCTATGTGCCTGATTGTGAAAATACGTTGGTAATGTGTTTCTAAAGATAGTGAGTGAAGTTTCAACTAATTTTTAACCAATATGAAACTAGAATTTATAAATAATTCGTTATTTTAACTCATTTAAATATAAATTTTGGTATTTATGAATCATGTTAGAATAAACTTCAATTTTTTTTTTAATTAATACTGCTTCGATCAATGCTTTAAATTAATTTCTAAACATAAATTTAATCAATCTTTTCTAGAAAAAAAAATTCTACAAAATGTTGAACTTGAGATAATTAGTTTTTACACAACAACATTCTTTCAGAATAACAAAATTCAAATTAAAAAGCCATGCTATATGGCTTCTTGAATGGCACTGACAACCTCTACAACGGACAGACACCATACACAAAGCCATAAAATCATCATCCAACCACCAACTAAAATATTAAAGTCATCGCCGGAAAAAGCTCACACGGGACATGGGAAGAAGCAGTTGGAATAAATAATATATTAACATTGCATATGCTACGATACGTGCGCTCCAGTTTTTTTTCAAAATATGGCATATTCCGGTGAAAATTGGTATACAAGTTTTATTAATTCTGATTGTAAAATTATATTGAATTGTAAAAGTTGCGTTTTTTATGAGCTTCTGATGACGACGACGATGACGATGATGACAAAGTTGATGGTGATTAGAATGATGAAGAGAAAATATTTTGAAGGAAATAAAAAGGATGAGAGAGGAACAATAATGACATCAAAAAAAGATGATGACGATGATGATAAAAGGGATGATAACGAAGAATATGAAAATGATGTTGAATGTTGAGAACGAAACTTGTCCTAAAGAATTTTTAATGGGTTTCTTTGAATGAAAGAAAATTGATATCGGTGCTGATAATGACGACAGTGACGAAGAAAAATGGTGATAGCGACAACAACGAGGACGATGATGATGACGATGATGACATATTATCAACTTTGTTATCAACTTCATCATCATCGTCGTCGTCATCATCATAATCACCGTAGCATCATCATCAATATAATTAACACTGTCAACATTATTAGTATTACCAGCAACACCATCATCATCATCATCACCATCAGCAGCAGCAGAAACATTATCAGCATGACGACGTTTATCATTATTGTCGTCATCATGAGAAACATGACGTCATAATCACCTGCCTTCAAAGAGCTTTTAACTGAAACACTTTTAGCAAAATTTCAAAAAAATATTCAATTTTGTTTGATGGAGGTCATTATAAGTAATGGATGGCGGTGACGATGACAATTGTGAGGATGATGAGGAGGAGGAGCAGGAGGAGGATGGTGATGATGATGATTGTGACGACGATGATGATAATAATAATTATAATAAAATAAAACATAAATATGAATATATATATATATATATATATATATATATATATATATATATATATATATATATTTATATTTATATAATTTAGTTTCTCAACAATATCTGAACTCCGTACAACCCCTAATTATAACCTGCAATCTTCAAAAGAATTCATAAGTTTAATAAACACAAACCATCCATGCAAGCATATTGCTTCCCTCAGTGTAGAATCACTGTTCAACAATGTTTCCATCATAGATACCATCGACATCATAATCAACACCGTTCACAACTCCATTCAAACTCCATCAAAAATACCTAAACACATGCTAAAGTCATTGTTGCAATTTTTTTTATTAGTCTCTATTATTGCAGCTCTGACATACGCAGAACCACTTACAATGTTACAGATTTATTATCTATATATATCTTATGTTCTTCATATCTTCATCCATTTATATTTGAAGCAGCCATCTTTGCCACAAAAGCTGTTTGTCCTTTTCACACGACGTACACATGTATTTATGTGCACGCGCAAGCACCGCATCATATACGCATCATATACAGTAAGATGTTTGATTCAGTGCGTATTTGAACCACTGAGCCATCTCGCCGGCCAACATGCGACAACTTACGTCGTCTACCCATTTACAAGCCTCGAAAGGAAGGACGGCTGGGTTGACCGGGAGTCGGCTACCCGGATGAATCTGTAGAAACTGCAGAATTCGAACCCGGGTCGTGGGAGTTGTAGACGGATACGCTAACCACTCGGCACGGAGACACCGTTCTACAGCCCCAAAGGAAAACTATACAAGCAGATAGACGGAATTGCCATGGGCTGACCTCTAGATGTTCTTTTCGCCAACTTCTATATTGGTCATCTAGAAAAATCAACTTTTCAAGATGACCCCCATCTCAAACCTCACATATATGCCAGATACGTTGATGAGATTTTCATATCATATGACGATCCTAATAAAGATAATGAACTACTTACTGTTCTCAACAAATCCAAAGTAAACTTCCCCCTCGAGCATGAAAATGATGAATCCCTACCTTTTCATGATGTCCTCGTCACCCGCAAGGAACATAGCTTTGAAACTACAGTCTACGTAAAAACTACAAATAAAAGCATTCGCCTCAGTGGAAAAAGTGAATGCACTGAGCAGTTTAAAATCAGTACAACAAGAGCATTCGTCAAACGCGCCTTCATCCACTCATCATCAACCGTTAAACGTGATGCAGAATTGAAGAGAATCACGAATTTCTTGGTGAACAATGGATACTGCACATTAATCATCGAAGATGTAATTAAAAATAAATTACAACAATTTAACAGCCCACAGCATAATAATCCAAACACTGACATTGTTTTTTATTATTTGGATTTGGGTGATAACAATGATGATCTAGAACCTAGATGATATGGACTGGACATGGATATGGTCAAATTTGTAATGACGTCATCCTGTTGATGAGCCAAAAACAGAAAAAAGTTGATGTTTTGCAGATAGTGATGCTACGGCAATGATGATGTTTATTGATGACGTTGCTTTCAATAAGATTAATATTATGACCATTTAATATTAATTAAAACTCACGATGGTTTTTTGTAAAATAAATTAAATAACAGAATGGATGAAGGTGAGGATGATGATTTAGATAATGATGATGACGAAAATGCTGATGCTGCTAATGATGATGACGGTAAAGATGATGACGACGATTGTGATGATGGCGAGATGATGACGGTGATGATATCACAGAGCTCTTTCTCTCTCTATCTCTGACTGCAATCAAATCATCGAGTCAATAACAATGCTAGATAAGCTATGCTAACAATGTCTTGACGCCTTTTTTGATGATAATATGAATTTGATGATGATGATGTTGATGATGATGTTGATGATGATGTTGATGTTGATGATGATGCTGGCGATGATGATGATAAATAGGATGATAGTGATCATGTGCTGGATGTTGTGAATAAATTGATTGATGAAAGAGATGAATGATATGATCATATTGTTAAAATGAGGATATGATTAAAATTAGAACGACGATGATGCTAAAATGATATGATGGTGTTGACGATGAAAACTATGATAGCATCGGTGCAAATAAGAAATAATAAGAAATTCGTTTGCGTTACAAGGTGCTGACATAAATGAGTAATAACGAAATTATGATCACATTTGTATAAATAAATACATCATAAATAGTTTAAATAAGTATATCAAACACTGTGAAATGATGACTACCAACATTCCAAAAATGATAAAATTATGATGATAAAATTGATGATATAAAGAATTGCAATGAAATTATTACAAAAACGAGAATACAAAATAATAATGGTGATAAGAATGATAATAAGAATGCTTGCGAACTTCTCTATTTAATGATGACCACTTAATACGTCGGAAGCTGACGTTAACGATCTTTCCCTCCAAAACAATCTGTCTGTCTCTTCGTTTCTCTCTATCTCTCTCCCTTTCTTTTTTATCCCTCTCTCTCTCTCACTTTTTTTTCTCTCTCTCTCTTACTTTCTCTCTCTCTCTCTCTCTCTTTGTTTGATTGTCTCGCTTTTCTTTGACCTTTTTTGGTCTGTCTGTCTGTCTGTTATTCTACTTACCTCAAGTAACTATAACGACAATGAACACGTTTCAATATGCCATTTTGTCCATTACGTGCGAGTGCATATTAATTTTTCCATAAATATTAA